TGGGGGGGAGGTTACGCTTGTTCATTACTTTAGCATAGGTAAAAAAAGCTTTTTCCTTCCAATTCTAGCCTAAAAAACTATCCAAAACGACTGCATTTGAAAGCAAACATGAAAATTAGACCGAACCCTCGCTTATAAACAATGTTCACTACACAAGTGTCAGGTACGATGTTGGTACTCCACACATTCTCTACCAACTAATACTTTGCTAAACCAATAACCAACATGAAACTTCAGCCAACACCAACGTTGTTAGTCAAACATCTAAAACAACCCTTCTGTATTTTGTAATTGACAAGGACTTGTCTGATGATCATCCTAGTTTCCATATACCAACGAACTATATTTTATGCTCTCTCCAACAAATTTCAATGGATCTAAACAATCAGCATCCATAGCAACTTCTCTAATTCCACATCAATTCGAGTTATTATCATTAGAAGGATTCCATTTCATCCACCATAATCCAAGAACATCATTATTTCAATTTAGCAGCCACATAACATCCATCCTATTTAGCATGCATAGATGATGATGCAGTTCCTGGTTCTGAAAGTTCCACATTGAAGTTAAATAGCACAGACCTTGTAAGTTTTACACAGTTCCATTCCAACTTCAAATTTGACACTATTTCAGGTTCAAGCAATTAAACTACAGAAGCCCAAAAGAAAGCTAACAAGAATCAAATGACAAGGAAACGAATTAGAAAGGAAAATGCGCAGAAACGCTTACCTTTTCTCCAGATCTGCCGCAAGCCAAAATTTGGAGCGATGGGTGTTCTTCAGTTTGCGGTCTGTTAGGTGCAGAGACTCTTGTGGCTTGTGGGTATGATGAAACGGAGGGAGATTTTTGGTGGGTCGCCGATTGAGATTTATGAGAGAGTTGATTCTTTGGCGTCTTTTCAGGTGGTTGCCGCTGGCGGTTGAGAGAGAGAGGATTAGAGAGGGTTTTTGATTGACCGGCTCCGAGAATTTTAATGAGGATCGTCGTGTTGGTGAAGAAGAAAATCAATTCAGCCTCCTCTCGGCTGACGGCGCCGGCGGGAAAATTTCTCTATTCGTTGAAATAGGAGAACTTTTGGGTAAACCTTAGCAAGTTTCAGTAATGGCAATTTTTTAATTTTTAATTTTATTAGTACATTGATATAATTATTAACGAAATTGATTAAAAAAAATTGTTTAAAAACTTTTTAGCTTTTTAAATTTTGTTTAAAAAATATTAACGAAATTGATGTAATTATTAATTTCACACTCATCAAATACCGTTCGTCAAGATCTAACGAGTATGTATATTAAATATCTCAGATTTAAATGTCCTTTCTATCCTCACCCTCTTTTTAAAATATATATTATTTCAATTAATTAAAATATAGCTAAGATAATATAAAATAATAATTATAAATGTATGTTATAATTATGTATATTGAAAGTCATAATTAATTAAAAATAATAAATATTATTTAATTAAAATAAATTAACTTAACTAATTAATTAAGTTCTGTATAGTTAGTGTTCAATATCTTATGGGGAGAGTATTAGAATACCTATGTTAAATGAATTTTACCTCTCTTGGATAAATGAATTAAAAAAAAAAGTCGATAGTTCGATCTCTCCCCCTATAAATAAATGAACTAAAAGAATCTTACACTAATTTGAGGTAAAGTAAACTTAGCTTTTACGTTGTTAATATTATATCACATAGGCTTTACGTTTTCGAATAAGAAGAAATAAATAAGGATGGATGTTTTAACAACTCAAAATTTTAATGCCAAATATTTCATGTTTAAAAAGTGTGTGAAGCTTACATTGTTGTTTTGTCAATCAGGCGAGTGTGCAACATTCCTTACAAGGAGATCTCAAGAGAGTTGGGAGAAATATGTTGACAAGATAATGTTGTGAGCATGGTCCACTGAAACTTCCTTCCTGCCAACGAATTAAGACTCGTGTTAGTAACAAAACAAGAACATTTCGCACGATCTAATCAGCGTCGAATCGTTGATGAATGAAAATAATACCATGGGGGAATGATACGAATCAAGTTCCCAACTTCAAGTTCAACATTGCTGCAAACTCTGGGGCTGAAAATAACAGTCCTTTTCTCACCTTCAGTTGCAATAGCTTCGTCGCCATTTTGCAACGCCGAGTGCTTCGAAATCAAACAAGGAGTATCATTACAGTGAGCTGATGTATTGGATCAAGAAATTCAAATATGAAACTGTTCGAAATAGGAACTATAAATTCCTCAACAAATCTGTTATAGTGGAGTTTTAAGCGCCAATCGAGAACGAAAAAGTGTGGAACGAATTACAAATCTATGAAAAGAAAGAACCAAGACTCTAGTGTTCCTTTTCTCCTCAATGCTAACAAATACCCAACCATTTTCATTTCCTACTTTCCATGTTGACTAGATTCATCAAATAAATAAAAGGGGGAAAAAGAAAAGATCTATTTCATCCATGTATCTAAAAAAAGTCAAAGAATTGACACCGAGGTCGGTGGACAAGTTGAAGAAAATAAAATGAGAGATCAGGAAAGAGTACTGCACCATCCTAATTTTTGACTATAAAGGTTCAGGTGCACCATCCTAATTTTCGACTATAAAGGTTCAGGTTCAGGCTTTCTTTCTGAAGTAAGCATCACCAAAGAGAGTCGTGTGACTCAGAGGACATACGACTGATTGGGCAAATAAATTCTAATCTACTTATTGGAATCCCGACATATTTGAATCCAAACAGGCAATTTTTTTCACCTTTAGTTGAAATATCAAACCAAATTCCTACTCAAGAACGAAAAAAAAACTTTTGATATTACACTTTTTGTCTAAAACACCGGAAATTACCTCGACGTCTATAAACAGGCAGGAGCATACTGTTAACTTTGCATCCAAGTATCTTGATAGGACTTTTACATCGATGCAGCCTAGCGCATTTGAAAAGATGTTAAAGAACTAAGGTACAAAAGATGATTTTAAAATATGGATGGTTTTACCATTTGGAGTTGTGCTACAATGTAACCCACTCAAGAAATTCGTCTCTCTTTCTTTTTCGCTCTGCACGACTCGCTGCAACTTTCCATATAAGCCGATTCTGGGAAGTTGACAGGAAACAAATACTAGGTTTAACAGACCCAAAATTACATAATCGTATTCAACATTGTTAAAGACCCTCAGCACAAAATTATAGAGGATAAGTAGAGTCCTTAATTTTACCTTAATGGATTTGGCACCAAGCTAAGAGTTCTTTCAGCGTCCATGCATGCAGCAACTAAAGCCTCCTCAAATCTATCAGTTATCGATTGCTCCTTCGTACATGGGCCAGCAAGCTTCAACTTTTGATCATTGACCTGCACAAGCATATCCGGATAATAATTTACTTTCCAAGCAAAAGAAACCATTTGCACCACCATAAAAACATACCTCGTGGTCACTTGATGATTCCGTGTCCACAGAAGTATGGGAGTCTTCACTGTCAGCATTTCTATCTCCAAGTGCAACAAGAGCTTTCTTCTCAATAATTGGGATCATTTTCCCTCCAACTTGGCTACGCTACAGCAAATAGAATTTAATTGAGAATGACAGTTGTATACAAGAAAATTGTACAACAATAAAAGCTAAAGAAAGTTGAATACTTGCATTTAACCATTTATCTATTTGACATTTTTCACTTCCTTACTTAACAAGGGGGTTCCATTAAGGACGAGTCTTTTGGACCCTTCCACAACAACTAAATTCATCTCGTGACAATATGAAAAACTCGGAGGCTTCGGTATCTTATTATACCTTTTCATCTTTATTTTTCTTAAATGGAAAATATACTTATTTGTTAGAGCTGTTCTCAATGATAAAGTAGTCCTATATCCTCCTCAAGATAAAGGTCATTAATTACAGCAAGCTAGTTTCTTTCTATGTGTAGAGTACTAAGTAGGAAAGAAATAAAAGAATATTTTTCAAGTATAGAAAGTTCAGGGGAGGAAATATGGGGTTTGACATATTGTAATGCCTTTCTTTGGTTCTTACTTCTAAGCTTTTTTGTAGTTATTTGTTATCCTTTTTCCTTGATCACCAACAGCTAGGGCTCCTTCATTTAAATTTTTTCTAGCAGTCTCCATGATTGGGTTGGGTTTTTCTATGTAATTTTTTTCATTAGGATTGTAATCCTTCATTGACATTGATAAAAATTGAGTTTCTGTCTCAATTTCTACAAACCATCATGCTACAAAATCAACCACATTACAAGGCACCAGAATCAATAAGATCCAAAAAGTTGATCAAGAAATGAGACTAAAAGAACTATCAAGAAAATTAGGCTAGCAATAGATCAAAAAGAATTGTCATCACATTAGCAATGCAATTGGGGAAGTGTTGCGACTGTTAGGGTCCTAGTAGTCACTGAATGAAAGTTCATGGGAGGTACTATACACACAGTGGGTTGAGGTTAGGAGGAGGCTCATTTTTAAATTAGTCTTCAGATACACTAAACACTGCTTAGTAACCTTTGTATTTTTTTTTTATACTGTAATATATTTCAGTCCCTAATCTCAAGATTAGGCTCCTATTAAATTTGGCTGTTAGGAGTGCTTATAGGAAAAATATTGATTATGAGGATACCAAGGGCATATTAGTTACTGGATGCTAGGTTCAAAATAAAGAGCATTTGAATGCTTGAGGGGAATCATTTCTACTAAAATTTTCACTATAGTAGTTATTATTTTAGATTTCTGATTCTGCATATTTATCTTTACTATGTTTTAATATTATGATGCTTCAAAAAGTTAAAAGATGGAAAACAGACCCATCCAGGACGACAACCCAGCGGGTCATTCTTATCTTTAAGGCCATCTAAAAGCTCGGAAATTGAACTTTCAGTATTTCCACACTTCTCTGCAGGTCCTACGTCAGATTGGTCTTCAAATTCTTCCACAAAATCTTCAACACATTCTGCAACTGGATACTTCTCAGATCTTGATATAACGGCATCAAAGGTGTCAGATAAATTATGAACCTTAGATATGGGAGCTGAGCAGAGTCTATTCTTATGAATAACAGAGCATGATAGTTCTCTCCTCTGTGAATGAAACGTAAATTTAGGTTTCGTTTTGCCTCTGATTCCTGCAGCAGTTAATTTGATAATCAACACCAATAAAGATCACGAGTTTTAAGAAAATAGTAACATGTCAACAAAAATGATCAGCCATAGATTATCATCATAAATGCTATTTGTAATTGGTTGGCTCGTGTATCCAAAATGGCTTAAATCAAAACAGCTAAAAAAGGTGGATTAAATTACCAATCTTAACAACTGCAAGCAAAATTCAAGCAACTTTCAACTAGCATAATGCCTTTTCCTTTTGTTCTATGAGCAAGTGCATCTTCTGGTAAACATGCGTCCGGGGAAGATTCCCAGCATACAAAAGGGGTAGGAAGAAGAAAAGTAATAAAAAATAATAATTTTCAGTTGAAAGTGATAGGACATTGCCTCAAAACAGAATACAGAAAAAAATACTTCACCTTTGAGCTTTTCCAGTCTCAAATTGAGCTGAACTTCTTCCTACCAAAAGGTCAAGAAATAAGTGTCAAATTAGATAAATTTGTAACAATGACAAAAAAACATCAAAAAAATAATTCATCCTTGGCACCAAAATCACATCTGTGAATGGACAAAATCAAGTATTGGAAATCTTTTTTTAAAAAATGAAAGGCACAAATTTGTGTTGATGTTCAAAAAGTTAAAAACTAAACAATCCTTTAGGAATGAAACTAGAAGGCCATACAGCAACAATAACAGCAGCTAAAGCTTAAACATGGTCTAAAAACATTGGCAACGAAGCTCGCCCACAAGAATTAATCTCATCAAATGAATAATGGCGAAAAATCTTTGAAAAGAGCACTCTTAATTCTTTCTTAGTTTCTTAAAGAAAAGAGAGATCAGCTTTTTTTCCCTTGATTCAGAGGTGTTTCTTAGAAAATATAAGAAACCAAAATAGTTAACAGTATCCAGTATCCTGATTTCAGAGAAACATAGCTAAAAATGGGAGAAAGAAAACAAAAACATGTTAGCCTAACTTCCAGACATAAGGTCGAGGCAAGAGTAAAGATTATTTAAAGCTTGAAAGTATCGAAGCAAAAACATCAACAATTATCCTTAAGAAAAAACAATAGGCAATCCATGAAAACAACTTAACAACTCCTCATCCAAACATGTTTTCGCTCAATTCATATTATACTTACGTCTTTCCGGAATTCTTATTCTAAAACCCAGAAACTGTGTCTAGACCATTGCCAGAAAAGCCACTATTTCATTAAAAGTGAATTTCACGACCTAATATTTCATTTCCGCGGAGTTAAAGGAGAATAACTTCAAAATTTTACACAAAACATGCACGTATAATCATCGATAGAAGAAAAGGCAAACAAAAATTCGACTAAAATGTCACTAGTTATAAAAGAAATACAAAAATCAGAGCCCTGACCATCGAAATTCATGACAAAAACTTCAAGTGAAAACATAAAAACAAACTAAAACACTATAAAACGGTACAAAATTAGAGTTAAACAAGAGTGATCAGTGAGAAACACATACAAACCTTTTCCTCCTTAGCTCCTTCGATTGAATCAAAATCTTCATCCTCTGTATCCATAAGATTAGAATACAAAAGGCCAGCCATTAAAATCAGCATAAAAAAACAAAAACAAAAACAAAAAAGAAAATCGACGTGAAGAAACTACCGGAGATGTCGCAGTCGGAGTCCACATTTGCCTCCATTTCCCTCCTGAAAACAGCTGACCATCGGCGGGAAACTAAAAGCGACGGTCGATATCTTAAGAAATTATATATATATATATATATATATATATATATATTTTTTTTTTTTTTTTTTTTTTTTTTTTTTTTTTTTTTTTTTTTTTTTTT